TGTGAGAAAGATGCCAAAGTTGTTATGTAGGTTTAGAGCTACTGTTTATACCACAGAGCACCAGTCTGGGGGTGGGAGGAGAATGCTGCCCTCTGCTCAGGAGGCCTTCCCACACCTGGCAACGTTTGAGAAGTAGAAATAAGGACACTTGGGAAGACAAACATTGGCACCTTGCTCCTTTAAATACATGAGGCTAGAAGAGCAGAGCAGGGGGGAAAGGTCCATAGCAGAGCCAGGCCTAGAACCCACTTGGGCGGATTCCTTTTCTGTTGCACCAGCCAACTTCTGTCATGTGGGGAAAATCTAGAGTAATGGCCATTCCCTCTCTGGAGTTACACTAGGTTCATGCTGGGGTAACTGAGAAAGGATGTTAGCCCACTGCCTAGATAGAGTGTAAAGTGCAGTGTGTGCGGTACATTGTGTACAGCACCGTGCACAGGATGGAGCCACCCGGCATCTTTAATAAGGAACATTTCCATGGCAATGAGAACCTGGAGCCTGCAGCTGCCAATTCACGGACACCTGCACAGCGATTCTAGTCTCCCCTCCCGCCACGTCCATCAGTCTTCCAGAGCTCCCATTCCTGTACACTCCCAGCCAACCCGACACACCCAAATCCCCTGTCCCACCACCCAATCTCTCCCAGGTCCCCTTTCCACACACCCCTTCTCCTAGACCCATCCTCCACCCAGACACATGCCCTCTTGCACAACGCAAATGCTGGCGTTCATCACCCCTCTCACACCCTTCCCCCACCCCAATCCTTCAACCTCTTTGCCCTTCACGAAGCTATTGGGCCAAGTTCATCCCTGGTACAGTTAGAAGTATCATGGTGGGGCTGATGCGATCCAAGCAGCATAAACGGTCTAACTGAAGGTGCTCTGCGTGCAGTTACCCCTGGTGGAGGTCAATAGAGCATTGTTCACTGGGGCCCCTTCCTGGTGCATATTAATGATTAGAGCCTTTCGTTATGTCTGGCCACGCACTAGGCCCAGAGCAGAACGAGGGGCGACGTTAATGTGTAACCAGGGGGTATGGGAATGGGGGTCACTTAACATTTAATCAACAGGCTTGAAATGTTAGGAAGGAAACGTGTTCGCGACAGGATTTACAAAGTCAAGGTGATGCGGGCAGTAGAACCATAACCAACAGCTTCACCTGGGCTCCAGCAGCCTCCAGCCCGGCCCGAGAGCGCCCTGGAGACGAGCGACGACTTTCTCCTTTCTGCTCCAGGCTGGGTGCACTCCAGAAAACGCCTTCCCGATTGCACAGCGTCTCTGCCCGACTCTGCATCCCAGCCCGAGGGAGCTCCCTTGAAGAGACTAAGAGACCAGGGTCCTTTCTCATCAGACCATGGCAACTGGCTCCATGGTGCTTGGACTGGTGGTGGCTCCCATGGGATGGGTCTTGCTGTTGGCAGCCACGGTGACCCCGCAGTGGAGAGAATTCTCCAGGCGGCCCGGCTTCCCGTGGGACGTTTCCTTCAGCGACGGTCTGTGGGAAAGCTGCGTGGAGGTGATCAGCGTGCCGGGCAGGGTGTGCCAAGCCATCCCCCAGGAGACTGCCATCTCCTGGCCCATGCAGATGCTGAGAGCACTCACTGTCATCTCAGTGCTTACAGGGGTCCTGAGCTACTCTCTAGCCCATGTGGGGGTACGCTGGTGGACAGACCAGCCCAACCCCCAGCTTACGGGAACTGCTGGACTCCTGCTGGTTCTCTCTGGAGCCATGTATCTATGTGCCACATCCTACATGGCTTACAAAGTCCTAGAGAACATGGCCAACCCCCAGACCCCTGCGGGGGACAAGTTCCAGCTTGGGACTTGTCTCTACCTTGGCTGGAGCGGCGGAGTCGCTGAGATCGTGGCTGGGATCTGCCTGGCCGTCAGTTTCCAAAGGAAGCAGGAAAGCAGCCCAGGGAATGTGGCTGCTCCGTATGAGGTGGATTACTGAGGAGGGGCTACCAGGCCAGCGCTGGGAGAGGAAACTGAGGGACTGTTCTCCGGGAGACTACAACTGTCTTTTCCTTGTGCACTGAGTCCACGTGGGTCTCCTGCTGTAGCTGCTTGAGCATGACTGTGCCTTTACCTTGCTGCGCCAGGATCAAGTAGCGCATCTTCAACCCCGCAGGACTGGCATTGCTGGTAACAGGGATGTACGGGCCGGTCAGGCAGAGAAAATCACCCCCCTCAATCAAGCCAATTTTAAAGATGGGCTGATGATCATTTCCCTAATGAGGTGTCTCAGGGGCCCTGCCAGCTTTGGGGTTTTACCAGCCTGTAGGTTTGTCTTCCTGATGCTACTTGAAAACGCCGCCTCCCCCCCCAACTCAGGGGAAGGGGCTGAGGGAGGGTGCAGCAGAAGGGGAGTGCACGCTTCCAGCTGTGTCACATCTGTAAGGGGCGGGGGCAGCATCGTGAAGGCAGCCCTGGGGGGAGCTGGGGTGGAGAACTGGCAGTGGAGGCTGGCCCAGAGGTGATCCAGCTGAGGCACATTGATAAGGGAGGAGCACAGCTGGCAGCGGAGTCGGGACTCTCCAAGCACAGATTTGATAGGGGTGGGATGGTGCCTGCTGCTGCTGGGGGAGGGTGGGAAGGAGACAAGCACATGCTTCCGGCCCTCAGCCAGAAGCCAGCAGTGCTCAGCTGCTCTCCCTGGGCTATGGGGCTCTGCTCTCTGCTCTGGGGCCCTGGAAGTGCTCAGATAACACAGCACATGATGACATCACCCACCTCCAGAACACCCTGGCATAGTCCCTGTCTTTGAAGTCATCTTATTTCCTCCTGAGAGGGGCTGAATATCCCTCAGGGCAGGAGAGGCCAGCCCCTGAAGCGAGAAGAAGGCAAGGAAAGAGGGATGGAGAAAGACTATTGCACAGAGGGGTTTGGTGAGACTCAGGGCCAAAGTGGGGGGTGGGATCCTGTCTCTCTGGAGCCAGCTACTCCCTGCATTTTAGAGACAGGCCGCTATTCCGAAACTTAAAATCCAAGAAAAGGAGGCAAAGCTGGACCTGTCATCAACACAGTTTTATTCATGCCCCAAGAAAACCAACCTTGCCTGCTTCAAACAACCCCTGTCTATTCCAGCTCTAAGTGGCCAGATGCAGAGAGATTGAGGATGGAACAAAGAAGTGGTTTGATCATATATAAAACCTAATCCTCCCCGTAGACAAATCCGGCAGGGGAGAGTGCTTAGAAAAATAAAACAGCTTTGACAATAGAAAAACAAAAATATAACAATGGCTGCTTTCCTTTCCCCGAAGCTCGAAAGGGATGGAGGGATTTTCCCCCCTCCCAACAGGAACGAGGCCCCAAGCCTGTAGCCAAGCTGAGACTGGAGGTACTGAATTAGAGAGGGGGCGAGTAAGGGAATGCTAGGGCAGCAGAACCAAGCAGCGAGGGTGGTAACTTTAGGGTGAAGGCAAGCTCAGGCACCAAAGCCTATTGAAAGCCATAGGAAAACGCTCACTAAGCTTCGAATTGGACGCCAGTCCTGGCAGCTGCTGACGAGAACGAGATGATGGAGGCTCAACCGTCTCCTGCCCTAAGCAGCCAGGGAAATGCCCTGCCAACTCACTGCCGTTAGCCAGAGGCAGCTTCTGGTTCACGTGTAGGGGGACAGGGTGGGTCCATTTCATTGGAGCAAACCTGGGTTCCTATAAGAGTCGAGGTTAGCTAAAACAGGCCCTGAACTGATTTGTCAGCAAAGGACGGGGACTTGGGATCAGGCACTTGCAAAACAAAAAATAAAAATGGACAGTTAAAATGCTAGACAACAGCTGGCTATTTTTAGTTAAAATTACTGGCAGGGCTGCAGCGAGCCAGCTGGTGTCAGCCTGTCCATGCTGCATCAGGAGTGAGCCCCCCAGCCCGCCTCCTCAGACTTGTGTTAGTGCTGCAAAAACAGCTGTGTAGACACTGCGGCTCGGGCTGGTGCTTGGGCTCTGACAACTGGGGGATGAAGGGGGTGGCGGGGTGGGCACGAGAGCCCACGTCACAACGTTAAAGCAACATCTACCCGGCCAGTTTTAGAGCGGTAGCGTGAGCCCTGCTAGCACACGTCTGGGGAGGTCAGCGGGGAGGCTTGCTTTCCAATGCAGTGTAGACAAGTCCTGGATGTTTAAACAGAACTCACTCAACGACACATCCATCCAGCGAGGGGAGCTGGATCAGAGCTTTCCCCTGGCTAACCAGCCTACATCTGTAACGAGGCCTTGCAGCAGAGGATCTCAAAGAGCTTTGGCCCCATGAATTAATGAAACGACACAGCAGCTTTATGAGACAGATCAGTCTTATCCCCTTTTAAATATAGGGAAACTAAGGCAATCGCCCGAGGTCACACGCGGGAGTTAGAGGCAGAGCAGAGAATGGCACCTGAGTCCAACTCTGTCCACTAGCAAATACTGTAACACAGAATTATTTGTACATGGATGAAAACCAGCCTCTCTCTTTATCAAATGAATATCTACCACCGCAAGCGGAGCCAGAGGGGGCCAGGCAGCACTTCTATCCATAAAAGATCTTCCATCACACGGGTTCTTGGTTCCGATCGGGCTCTGGATGGATGTCGAGTGATGAGAAATGCCAAGGCATCAACATGTTGAATATCCCAATCTCAGAATTGTCCCCAGAGGGACCGTCCTGGCCTCACAGCGCTGGGGTCAGTTACTCAGTGAAGTATATGGATGCATATTCATTAAGCATCACGGGGAAATGGAAACAGCAGCTCTTTTAAAACAAGCAAGACTCTCTAAACCCAACCGAGGATCCATTCTGAGAATTCCTCCCTTGTCCTCAGAAGGACAAGGCTTTGTCAAAAGTGGGTCCCTACATAAAATCCTGCTCTCAGGGGAGAGCCTCAAACGGTGTCTTTAAAATGCAGCCCACTTTCCAGTTAAATTGACGCGCTGCGTGTTGTGAGCGAGCACCATTCCTCCTTGCTCTCAGAGCATCACGTTTCTTATTGGGACAGAGACGACAGGAATCTCTCTCCGGAATGAGAGAGGGACGTGTTATTCCCTGCACTGAGGTTTATGAAGGGAACATTATTGCCAGGATCTGCCCCGTTTCCATGTGTTATGGTGTCACACCGGCAGCTTCCTGTGGACTGGATTCAGCGCCAAGTTCTGCTTCGAGACCTTCAGCCTGGCTGGGCCTGGGCGCCCACCACTGGGGGATTTCCTGGTATAACTCCTGATGCTCTTTCTTCCAGTGTCTGAATTTCTCCGAGGTCAGTTCCGAGTCGTTCAGGAGCTGATCGAGGATCTGGAGCTCAGCCACCTTCGCCTGCAAAAGGAAAAGAACATTCCCCGCTGCTCAGTGCTCGTGCGTCAGAGGGCATTACACGGCGAGAGGGCTTGAGCGTTTCACCTACTTTGAGCGTGCTTTGCAGGGCCCGGACCAGGTGAACTCTCTCGTTGATCTGGGGGTTCTTGTTGCGCTTGATGAAGGATCTGCGGTACTGCTCGTGGGTCAGGAGCTGGCGCGTGCCGATGAGAGACACCCCGCCTTGCTTCAGACACTGAATCAGGGACTCCAGTTCTTTGCCAGGGGAGTCTGCATAGGGGGTGGGGGGACACAGCAGACAGAGTTAGAGTGGGGCCGGAACAGCCTCTGTGCCAGGGCGATGTGCTTGTGGGGAGTAGGTGGTGCCTGCTGCCAGGATGGCCCCAAGCACTACAGGCAGTTCAGGAGCCTGGTACTCTGTGGTCGGGAGGGTTACGAGAACTTCCACAGAAGGCGCCGGAGAAATACGACAGACCCTAGACACAGCGGCTAGCTCAGGGAATGGCATGTTGGTGTCACAACAGAAGCTATGGCCCTTTGGACATTCTGGCACCAATCATACTGGGACACACCAGAGCAGATCCCGGGGCAGGCTGAATAGAAAGGGGATGGGGGGTGGGGGGGAGAAACCTCAGGAGATTCTTCACAACGAAGGAGAAGCCTTCACACCCCCCCCATTCAATGCCCACCTGCCCCAGAAAGGACCCGCTTGTGTAACACAGCCCCCTAGGCCACTGGAGCCCGCTCTGCTTGAGCGAGAGAACCACCTTGGTGAGCAGAGGATTCATAAACCACTATACCTGGATCAGTCACCAGAGGGCCCCATTGAGCGCAGGTGATGCTCAGCGGCGCAAATCCAGGCTGCTCTCAGAGCAGCAGCGCTAGCACTTACCCAGGGGCGAGCTGGGCCTGCCACTGCCAGGGACGGGGCTCCCCAGGGGGCTCCCCACTGGGCCCGTGGAGTCGGGGCTCCCCATTGCAGCACCGGGCTGGGCTCTCTCCAGAGTGGTTAGCAGCTCCCTTCTCTTTGGCAGCTGAGGAAGAACATTTCTGTTTAGAGACCTCCCCCCAACACCAAGGAATCCCAGCTCCCAAGAGGGTTGGGAAGAGCCACAATCCTCTCGCCCTTTGCCAAGCTGCGATTGACACCCGCGACGCAGCACTGCCCGCCAGCATCCGCAAAGGGAGGGCCAAGAGCTGATCCCAGGTCCCATCACCCAGGGCCAGGGCTCTCCCCAGCTGGACTGTAGGATCCGCCCTCCTCCCCGATGAGACTCACCAGATCAGAGCCAGGCCTGGGAGCGTCGTCGTCCGGATCCTCAGCTTCCGTCTCACTGTAGCAGTCTGGCAGGAGAAGCACAGAGGGGACTATCAGCGGGAAAGCCCGGACCTGCCACGGACCTTCGCTCCGACACGGCACACGTTGCCCTTCTCCAGCTCCTTCTATCCAAGGATCTCACAGCACTTTAGTGAGAAGAAGGGGCCCAGCCTACCAGCTGGGGATGATCCTCACAGAGTGGGAAGGTGGGGCAAGGCCTCTTGGTCCCCGAGCTGGTCATCTAACCATTAGAGCTCACTGCATCTTGTCACCCAACCTCGCTCCAGCCCGGCTGCCGCTTGTTGACTGGAGGATTCATGGCTCAGGAAGAGGATTCTCATCTTCACCCCCTCCCCTTCATACAGCACAGCAAGCTCCTCCCAGGCCAGCGAAGGAAAGACCGGGAGCTGGAACGGAGCCTGGCTTGCCCACATCTTTGGATTCTTGGTCTTAAGGGGGGGGGTGCCTGCAGTCAGTGCAGAGCGGGACCCTTTTCCTTGACCCCTCTACCCCAAAAACTCACCACCTTTTTCAGGGGTGTCCCTCATTTTGTCTCAAAGGTCCTACGCTGCACACAAAGTTGGGGTCCCCTCGCTTTTGTCAAAAGGCACGTGCATCGGCAAGCACTGCGCTGAGGTTACAAAAGTCCCAATGCCAGCGGGATGGATCCCGCCAGATTTCAGGTCTCCCACGTGAATCGCTCGTGCGTGCCCCTCTCGGTCACCATGCAGTTGGGCCTTCACCAGCTGAGCACAGGACTGGAGAAAAGATGCTCTGTGCCACAGGGCCCACCCTTCTGACCCCCAAGCCAGAGGCAACGGACTTTCCTCTCTCCCCCTAGTGAGGGCTACTGGTCTCCAAGATCCAAGAGCTTTGGTTCCCCACCAGTATTTAACATGTCTATGTGCACCTGTGTGGGCGGGGGGTGGTGGTGGAGGGGCGGGAACAGAGGACAGTGGGGGGTCACAGACCCAGCCAATTAAAAAGAGAGCACTGTCCTGAGGGGTGCACTTTAAGCATTGTCTTCCTGAAGTGGCTGCTCCCAGATTACGAGAGACGCCCCCCCACTTTTCAGACCACTTGCAGCATTGCCCCCCCCGCCAGCTAACTATCCCGCCCCAGTTTATGTAGATACGGGAGTGGAGCCCGCTGGAGTCAGGAGGATGCTGGGAGAGGCTCATCCAGTCACCCTGTAGGGACGTGGCATGTAATAACTGGTTCGCAAGATGCCTGGTTCCTACCTTCTTCTCTGGGCGGGAGCGATTCCTGGGCCAGCTTGTATTTGGTTTTTGCAGCGATCAAACCACTCACCCACCTGGGAAGACAAACAGATCACGTACAGTCACCAAAGAGATCCCCTCCCAGGTGTCCGGGCACTTCCCCTTCCATCACACGAACCACCTCACACGTGGGGAAAGCCATCTCAGACCAATGCTTTTCGGAATCAGAGATCCGGCCCTCTTCCACAGCCACCTCCCTTCCTGGCAGCCCAAATCCTCGGAGTGGGTTCCACAAATCACAGTCTGAGAACCACTGTCTTCACTGAATCGTACCGGCCATTTGGACGCAGCCTCCAGTGACCACAGGAACTGTAGATTCGGGCTGGTTCAGCCCCTCACTAGAATGCTGGAGCTTTAACTGCATCCAGGTATTTGAGCGAGCAAGGCGAGGGTTTTGTAGCCAATCATGGATCACCACAGGGTGTTTGCTTAGCAATGTCAAATTCACGCAGGGACAGCCCGGCCTGCTACTTACATGCTCAGATCAGCCAGAGTCTCTGCTGCGAAGATGAAAGGTTTGTACGTCTCATGGCAGAGCTGGAAGACACTGAAAGAAGAACAAGGACGTGGCTGCATTTTCCACAATTCCTCCCGTATTAGCAGGCGGCTGTAACGACCCCCTAGTTAAGAGTGAAGCTAGTGTCCCATTCTTAGCCCCGTTTCCAGCCTCCCCTGGGGCTAGCTGGGCTCTGCTGAAACACATGTTCGCCCTTAACTTTCAACAGAGCCTTTTCTTCTAAATTACCCTCCCCCTTCCCCTGACATTAATCAAATTCAAACCCATCCACAATGAGCAACCTGGAGAGAGCCTTTCCCTCTAGGCAGTTCTCTAAAGTTCCACCTGGTAGATGGCTCTCCGGCACCATGCCCGACAGCACCTCCTGCTGGGAGAGGACTGCTTGTTTCCCCTACAGCCAGGGCTCCTGCACCGTTACTCAGCGCCTCCTGCTGGAGAGGCGGGGACTGGAGCAGCTGGGAGCATCTCCCCACACAGAGCTCCTGCACCGTTGCGTTCGGCTAGTCCGCTTGGCACCAAGCGCTCCAATGGATGTGCTGCCCTACGGAGAATGCTCCCACGCCATCCCCAGCAGCCAGGCAGCTCCTGGGTGCTTCAGGGTCCTCCTCTCCCGAAGCCGAGGTCTCTGCCCAGCATCTCACGCACTCACTATTTCTTCTTCTGCTCCCGGGTGCTTTCCAGGTCGTAGGTCGACACGTTGATCAGGCCTACGGCTTTCTCGTCCTGAGCGGTGAAACAAGGAGCACGTCACACACAGGGGGCTTTGCTGCCGTTGGCATTTAGAAGCAAGATTCATTTGGTTTTGGGGCATCACGCGGGACTTAGTGGCCAGGAGAGCCACTGTACCAAGAAGAACAAGGAGTCCGGTGGCACCTTAAAGACTAACACGGCTATCCCCTGATATGTGTGCCAAGAAGGTAAATCAACAACGTGCGGCTTACTCCGGGAACATCATGCTGTCCTTGGAGCCATCCTTGTGGGGAGGGATAGCTCAGTGGTTTGAGCATTGGCCTGCTAAACCCAGGGTTGTGAGTTCAATCCTTGAGGGGGCCATTTAGGGATCTGGGGCAAAAATCTGTCTGGGATTTGTCCTGCTTTGAGCAGGGGGTTGGACTAGATAACCTCCTGAGGTCCCTTCCGACCCGGATAGTCTATGATTGTAATAATAATCCCCAGCTCTTCTTATCTAGCCTTTCCGCACATAGGCCTGAATGCGCTTTACAGAGGAGATCAGGGTCCTCCTTATAAATGGGGTTGGTGGAGTCAGAGGATGGGGGAAAAGCCCATAAGGCTGGTGCAGGATCCATCTTCCAGCTCTCTCTGTGGGGCTGTTACACCCATGCACCCCTCTTACACATCACCTCTGAATTTGGCTCACTGAGTTATCGGAGCGTAGAGGAGTCTCATTTGGGGACATGCACCAACTGGGCCAGGAGAGAAGGTGCAGTGAGGACCGCTGCTAACGGGAGGCCTCTACCCCCTACTCTAAACTTCTTACGCTGACGTCCGATTCCTCGGCACACCAGCAAGGACTCCCTGACCCATCAGTGGTTGGGCTGACCTAGGCCTGGGGGAGTCCACTGGGCTCCAAGCATAGCGAAGTCGAACTTGTCTCACTTTACACGGTCCCTGTAGATTTGTCCCAGGATCTCTGGAGTCCAGCAGCCAACACCCCCTTCCCTCCCGCCCTAAGCCCCCTGAGTATATGGCACATCTGCTTCCCCCCCCCACCTGCCCCTTTCCACTAACCCCCAGCATAGCTCATGGGACGCACTCACACTGGGCTGGTTGTACCAGTAGAGAACGTGGCCCTTCAGCACAAACCAGCAGCGTTTCCATTTCTGGGACATGAATCCCACGTGGTCTTTCTTCTTCAGGAGCCAGCCATCGCAGTCCACCTTGCCCAGCTCCCGACAGGACACTCGCCGGCGGCTCAGCCTGGTAGCCACTCCTGCAAGGAAGGAGGAGAGGGGGCAGGGGGACGTGAGGCACGGGGAGGGGAGCTCTCTCCAAAAGAGGAGCCACCAGCCTCCAAGGGATCCTGCCCCAGCCGTGTCCTGTCAGCGGCTTCTCTGCAAGGCTCCCCCATCCCCACCCCTCTGCGCCCTCTCACTGCTAGGGGACAGCAGAGACACGGGAAGGGGGGGGGGAAGTCCCACTCTTTTCGGTGCCTGACAACGGGGAGCCTGGGCCCTGGGTGCCCACGCCCGTTAATGCACCAGCCATTCATCCTAGTCTGCCTCTGCTCCCAAAGGAAATAAGCTTGGTGGTTGTCGGCCTAGCCCCTGGAGGGACTCTCTCCATACCCCCAAACCACTCTGGGCTGCAGCTGCTGGCACCCGACAGCGAGGAGATGGGGAAGGAGCTGCACCGGCGGGGGACGAGGGGACTGGAACAGCACCCCTCACTTCCATGGCGGAAGCTCACCAAGGAGCAGAGGAGGGAGGAAGGGTGGGGAGGGGAAGAGAAAGGTTCAGAGCAGGTTCTCCCAGCCCCAGGCTCCAAACAGAAACATCCGGATTCTGCTCCGCAGCCAAGAGAAGCAGCATCGGACGGAGGGTTGCCTGGGCTGTGCTCTGCTCCCTGGCATGCAGCCCCAAGCACCACGTCTGGCCCTTCCTTCTGGGTTTATGCAGCCTGAGTGCGTCCTGCATCTAGTGCCACGCGGCACAGAACGCCGGGGGGCCACAGCCCACAGGACCCCTCTTCCCTCCTGGCTGCGTGGCCAAGCAGGGCCGGCCTTAGGGAAATTGCACCCTGGGCAAACTTGTATTTTGGTGCCCTGGCCCCCATGGGTATGGTACCCCCCCATTGCCCTCATGGGCTCCCCGGGATCCCCACACTCCCTTCCCCCCCTAACCCCTGCACTGTGCCCCCTTCGCCCCTAACACCCCTGCATCCCCCTCCAGCGCCCCCTTGGGGAAACTGACCTGGATGCAGGG